TACTACTACTACTACTACTACTCTGTACTACTACTCTACTAATACTACTTCGACTAGTAGTACTACGAGACGTCTACTAGTACTACTAACTTTACTACGGGTTTTTACTTACTACTACTGCTTATACTACTACTATTTCTTACTCTATATTTTCACACTAGTACTACTACTAAATACTACTACTACTATTACTACTTACTCACATACTACTACTAAAGTACGAGTGCTATTACGCGAGGGTACTACTAGGGCTACACCTGTTACTACTTGCTAATACTACTACTACTTACTTAATATATACTACTACTACGACGACGACTACTACTACACTACTACTACTACTACTACTACTACTACTACTATGCTGTGCTGTGCTGCTGCTGTGCTGCTGCTGCCTGCTGCTTCGACTACTCGTCACTAGGACTACGACGAAACTACTCCTACTACTTATACTACTACTACCACTGATACTACTAAAACTACTATTACTACTACAAATACTACTACCATATACTATATAGACGACTTACTTATACTAACTACTTCTACTACTATACTACGTCTACTACTACTACTACTACTACCACTACTACACTACCACTACTACTACTATACTACTACTACTTACTACTACTACTACCGACTACTACTTCTACTACTACTACTACTACTACTACTACTACTACTACTACTACTACTACTACTACTACTACTACTACTACTACTACTACTACTTACTACTACTACTACTACTACTACTACTACTACTACTACTACTACTACTACTACTACTACTACTACTACTACTACTACTACTACTACTACTACTACTACTACTACTACTACTACTACTACTACTACTACTACTACTACTACTACTACTACTACTACTACTACTACTACTACTGCCACTGCCACTGCCACTGCCACTGCCGCTGCCACTGCCACTGCCACCGCCGCCGCAATCACCATTACAACGACCACCAAATTGCGCTCAACACGCATCAAGATGGGAATTTGTGTGGCCAGTCTCTTTTCTGGGCGGGGATGCAAAACCGTACCATTTCCCGCGAGGTTTTTCAGCTGACAAAGCAAGCCTTTCAAATATTACAGTTCCTGGACGGGCAAGCGCGGACCACAGCAACACGCATGAAGCCGCGCGCTGGGCCACACAAGAACGCAACGGGCCACACAAACACCCGACGGGCCACACAAACACACGGTCGCCCCCCAGTGGAGGCGTTCAGTGCCCGACCCGGGATCTGCGCGGACCTCCGAAAGTTTATGCATGTACCGTCTTCTGGTGAAGACGAACACATAACCGATAACGCTGCTCCCTGGGCCTCTCCCAGGGCCCGCTCTGACCAGGATTTCGAAACGGATCCAGCCGCGGCGACGAGAGACGGGTAGCTAGCATATGCATCGGGTCCTCCAGGAAGAGCGCCGACATCGGTATCTTCAGACAACCGCCGATCTGATTGTTCCACTGCGCGGCCCCAGAGGTCCCGACCGGCCTCTTCCCCCAGAGGAAATTCGTTTCCTTTGGATCCATATTTGATGGTCCCCGAGCCCGATGACGGCCCCCGAGGCCCAAATCAATGAAAAACGCCCAGGTAATAAAAAAGGAAGAAACAAAACACATCCCAGCAAAGCAACCTAACAGCAATGTGTATAAGCATATCTGGAAGCATTCCCCTTAAGATTCAGGTGAGAATCCAGTTGTAGAATTCTGCTGTTCTCGCAGTCGCAGTCGCATTCGCAATGACATTCGCAGTGGCAACGGCCTTAGTATCCAACGGAATCCTGAGGATTCCTAGGGATTCCTAAGGCATGCTTAGGCATCCTTAGGAATCCATAGGAATCCTTAGGAAACCTTAGGAATCCTCAGGAATCCTGATTCCTTGGCTTGCCTCAGCCTCAGCCTCAGCCTGCCTCGGCCTCAGCCTGTCTTGGCCTCAGCCTGCCTCAGCCTCCCCTCCTCCTCCCCCCCCCCTTACCCCCCCCCCATTCAGCCTCACGTTGTCTCAGCTTCGGCCTGCCTCGGCCTCATCCTCAGCCTCAGCATCAGTCTCAGCCTCAGCCTGCCTCGGCCTGAGCCTGCCTCGGCCTCAGCCTCAGCCTGCCTCAGCCTCAGCCTGCCTCAGCCTCAGCCTCAGCCTGTCTCACCCTCAGCCTGCCTCAGCATCAGCCTCAGCCTCAGCCTCAGCCTGCCTCGGCTTGCCTCAGCCTCAGCCTCAGCCTGCCTCGGCCTCAGCCTCAGCCTGCCTTAGCCTCAGCCTCAGCCTGTCTCAGCCTCAGCCTGCCTCGGCCTCAGCCTCAGCCTGCCTCAGCCTCAGCCTGCCTCAGCCGCAGCTTGCCTCAGCCTCAGCCACAGCATCAGCCTCAGCCTCAGCCTGCCTCAGCTTCAGCCTCAGCCTCAGCCTGCCTCGGCTTGCCTCAGCCTCAGCCTCAGCCTGCCTCGGCCTCAGCCTCAGCCTCAGCCTGCCTCAGCCTCAGCCTCAGCCTCTCAGCCTCAGCCTGCATCAGCATCAGCCTCAGCCTCAGCCTGCCTCAGCCTCAGCCTCAGCCTGCCTCAGACTCAGCCTGCCTCGACCTCAGCCTCAGCCTGCCTCGGCCTCAGCCTGCGTCAGCCTCAGCCTCAGCCTGCCTCAGCCTCAGCCTGCCTCAGTCTCAGCCTCAGCCTGCCTCGGCGTGCCTCAGCCTCAGCCTCAGCCTGCCTCGGCCTCAGCCTGCCTCGTCCTCAGCCTGCCTCAACCTGCCTCAGCTCGGGCATTCAAAATATAGCACAGGACTGGTGTTCTGGGAAGACGAAGAACACGAAGTGGTCCACAGTTGGCTCCAGGCAATCAATATGGTACAGGAATTGTGTTCTGCGAACACGAAGAACACGAAGTGGCCTACATTTGGCTCCGCGCATTCTAAATGTGGCCTGGGAATGGTGTTCTGGGAACACGAAGAACACGAAGTGGCCTACAGTTGGCTCCGGGCATTCAAAATTAGCCTGGGAATGGTGTTCTGGGAACACGAAGAACACGAAGTGGCCTACAGCTGGCTCCGGGCATTCAAAATGTGGCCTGGGAATGGTGTTCTGGGGACACGAAGAACACGAAGTGGCCTACGGCTGGCTCCGGGCATTCAAAATGTGGCCTGGGAATGGTGTTCTGGGAACACGAAGAACACGAAGTGGCCTACAGTTGGCTCCGGGCATTCAAAATGTGGCCTGGGAATTGCGTTCTGGGAACACGAAGAAGACGAAGTGGCCTACAGTTGGCTCCGGGCATTCAAAATGTGGTCTGGAAATGGTGTTCTGGGAATGGCTTCCTAAGGATTCTTCAGAATCCTCAAAGATTCCTAAGGACTCCTGGGGCTGACCCTTTTGTCCGGTTCCTTGTCCGGATCCCGCCCAGACCCCCCTGGGGCGTCAAGATGCTCTCTTTTGATCCCATTAGAAACCTATCAGCAAAAGCTGTTTGGTAAAAAAAACCTGGCAAAGCAACCGAACAGCGATGTGCATAAGCATATCTGGAAGCATTCCCCTTAAGATTCAGGTGAGAATCCAGCTGTAGAGTTCTGCTGTTCTCGTAGTCGCAGTCGCATCCGCAATGACAGTCGCGTCGCAGTGGCAACGGCCTTAGGATCCAATGGAATCCGAAGGATTCCTAAGGATTCCTGAGGATGCTTAACTATGCCTACGGATTCCTAAGGATGCCTACGGATTCCTAAGGATTCCTATGGATTCCTATGGATTCCTACGGATGCCTCAATCTGCCTCAGTTTCAGCCTCAGCCTCAGCCTGCCTCGGCTTGCCTCAGCCTCAGCCTCAGCCTGCCTCGGCCTCAGCCTCAGCCTGCCTCAGCCTCAGCCTCAGCCTGCCTCGGCCTCAGCCTGCCTCGGCCTCAGCCTCAGCCTGCCTCAGCCTCAGCCTGCCTCAGCCTCAGCCTCAGCCTCAGCCTGCCTCGGCTGCCTCAGCCTCAGCCTGCCTGCCTCGGCCTCAGCCTGCCTCGGCCTCAGCCTGCCTCAGCCTCCCTCTCCTTCCCCCCCCCTTCCCCCCCCCCCCCCTTCAGCCTCACCTTGTCTCAGCTTCGGCCTGCCTCGGCCTCATCCTCATCCTCAGCCTCAGCCTCAGCCTCAGCCTGTCTCGGCCTGAGCCTGCCTCGGCCTCAGCCTCAGCCTGCCTCGGCCTCAGCCTCAGCCGCAGCCTGCCTCAGCCTCAGCCTCAGCCTGCCTCAGCCTCAGCCTGCCTCGGCCTCAGCCTGCGTCAGCCTCAGCCTCAGCCTGCCTCAGACTCAGCCTGCCTCGACCTCAGCCTCAGCCTGCCTCGGCCTCAGCCTCAGCCTCAGCCTGCCTCGGCCTCAGCCTGCCTCGGCCTCAGCCTGCCTCAGCTCGGGCATTCAACATATGGCACAGGACTGGTGCTCTGGAAACACGAAGATCACGAAGTGGCCCACGGTTGGCTCCGGGCAATCAAAATATGGTGCAGGAATGGTGTTCTGGGAACACGAAGAACACGAAGTGGCCTACAGCTGGCTCCGGGCATTCAAAATTAGCCTGGGAATGGTGTTCTGGGAACACGAAGAACACGAAGTGGTCTACAGTTGGATCCGGGCATTTAAAATGTAGCCTCGGAATAATGTTCTGGGAGAACGAAGAACACGAAACGGTCTACAGTTGGCTCCGGGCATTCAAAATGTGGCGTGGGAATGGTGTTCTGGGAACACGAAGAACACGAAGTGGCCTACAGTTGGCTCCGGGCATTCAAAATGTGGCCTGGGAGTGGTGTTCTGTTGGCTCCGGGCAGTCAAAATGTGGCTCCTGGCAGTGAAAATGGGGAGTCCCCGGTTTCCCGGGGCACCCTGTCCGGATCCCGCCCAGACCCCCCTGGGGAGTCATGATGCTCTCTTTTGACTCTACTAGAAACCTATCAGTCTTCGCTATTAGGTAACAATCTGGGCCCCTTGCTCCTCTAAGCCCCTGCTCTCTCCAAGCAGGGCCCGCGGAGC